TATATAATTTAAGCTGTTTTCATCAATATTCATTTTGTGTATGAAATAGAATGTACTTATTTGCGTTGCAGGTTAAGTTGAAAAACAGCCTTGTGCTGAACTTCGCCTTTTCATCACTTTCCTTCTTTCCTTTTTTTTGATATGTATTTGGAAATACTCGAAAACACCGTTGATCCACTGTTAACAGACATAATAGAAAACGATAACCGATATCTTGAAGATAATAATAATAATAAAAAATAAATTTTATTTACCAATTAGAAATTTACAAGTGCGTACATAATTATAACATAAATTCAGCAGTAAATAAAAGAATACTTCACTATAGGCAGGGCCTGTGCGTGAGTACAAAAAAAGAAAAAAATAAATACATGTATAAAGAGGCGCGTAAAATAGATAAGAATTAAAATTTATAGGTATAGGTATATGCAGAGTTCTGATATAATTAATAAAAATTATAATATAAAAAATAGAAATTTAGAAAAATAGAGATGCGGTAAAAGGGAAGAAGAACCAAGACAATAACAATACCTATGTTGTTAACAATTAAGTAAAAAAAATGTGGATTGTTTCTCTCGAAGTTTGAAAAATAAATTGTTTTAAATCTCTCTTAAATTTGTTTAGGGTGTTAATTTGTTTAAATGTATATGGAAGCCAGTTATGCATTTTAGGGCCAAGATAGCTATAACACTTTTGTCCGGTAGTTTTTTTTTTGTTTTTGTTAAAACAATATTTTTGTGTTTGTTTCGAGTGCTGTACACGTGGTTGTTGAACTTAAATAATCCCTTGTTTTCGTGTTGATAGATATTACTAAAGTAAAAGTATAGTTGTCGAATGTCCATTACATTGTTTTCCTTATATAACGTGTCGGTAGGATAGCAAAAGTCTTTTTTTAAAATTATTTTAAGTATTCGTTTTTGCACGATTTCCAAATTGCTTAAAACAGTCTTTCTTACGCTTCCCCATGCTAAAATACCGTAAGTTAGATGTGATTGTACCAAAGATGTGTATACAATTTTTAATGTTTTGGAATCTAAGATGTTTCTTAAGATTTTAAATTTATGGATGAGAAATTGAATTTTTTTAATTACGAATTGTATGTGTTTATGCCATTTTACATTTTGATCTAAAATAACTAAGTATTTGAATTCACTTACAGAGTCTATTGTTATTTCATTTGTGACATTGAGTGTGTTAAAAGTAGGAGCTGTTCTAACATCAACATGGATGGGCAAAAATGCAGTTTTGGAGAAGTTAACGGTAAGTAGCTTATAATTAAACCATTTGTTAATATTTTGAAGATCTTTTTGAGATCTTCCCAGTTCCTGGCTTCATAGAAAATACAAGTGTCATCAGCGTAGGCAGTAATATCCCCTTCACTTTCCAGAGAAAATAAATGATTTAAATAAATATTGAAAAGTACCGGACCGAGAACTGATCCTTGTGGCACTCCAACGGTTATTTGTTGGACTTCACTCCGCTGATTATCGATTTGGACAAACTGTTGACGATTAGTAAGGTAAGTTTTGAAAAGGTTTAGTGGGTCACCTTTAACACCAACTTCTTCCAGAGAATTCATCAACAAAGTATGACTGACCGTGTCAAAAGCCTTGGACAGATCAATAAAGACACACAATGCTTTGTTATTTCTATCCATAGCCGAGTACATATTTGAGGTTAGATGAAGTATTGCATCCTGTGTTGATATGCCTGTGCGGAATCCGTATTGTTTTGAGGCGAGTGTGTTATTTTTATCAAGGTACGAACAGAGTCGGTCTTTTAATAATTTTTCAAATATCTTAGCCAAAGTGGTTATTAGGGAAATTGGCCTATAATTAATGACATTTGAGGAATCGCCTGATTTAAAGATAGGAGTTACAAAAGACGTCTTAAACGCAGTAGGAAAGTACCCACTTTCGATACATCTATTTATTAAATATGAAAAAGGATCCGATATAAATGGTGCTATACATTTGATGACTTCCCCGGTAATACCATCCTCACCTGGCGATTTTTTGTTCTTCAGATCGTTTATAACTTTTTTAATTTCTAATGGGGTTGTCGGTCTAAGAAATAAAGAATTTGAATGTGGCTGCGTAAATCTATCTTTTGGTTTTAAATAATTTGGATCGGGTGTTATTTTATCCGCTAGTATTTTACCAACAGTAATATAATGTTCATTGAAGATAGTTGCTATTGATTGTTGATCAGTTACAATTTGTTGTTCATTTTTTATTTGTTTGATATTGTTTATAGATTTTTTGGTTTTGGATGTCAGATCTGCGATTGTTTGCCAGATAGCTTTAGTAGAATTTGAACCTTCTAATATTTTTGTTTTGTAGTAATTAGCTTTAGATATTTTAATTAACTGATTTAAGTTATTTCTATATTGTAAATATCTATTTTTTAGATCTAGGTTATTATTATTATTTTTTAACTGGCGGTGTAACTTATCTCTCTCATTAATAGATTTGATTATTCCATTCGTTATCCAACACTTCCGCTAGCAGATAGATCTTTGCTTTTTATTTAAGCTAGTATAAAAATCACAATTTTTGAAGCACTTTAAATCACTTAAAAACTCTTATTTTATGGAGCTCCCGTATTCACGTTATCTACTTCACAGCGGCGTTCAATAAGATCACCTAATATTTCAACAGAACGGGGCTCCTCCACATTTTGCTACAGCGGTTCGTCAGTACTTAAATGAAAACTTTCCTAGACATTGGATTGGACGAAGAGGATTTATTGAATGGGCCCCACGATCTCCTGATCTGTCCCCCTTAGATTACTTTTTATGGAGATATCTGAAAAGTAAAATATACGCCACTCAGTCAGGTTCCTTAGAAGAGTATTATTACCAAATGTCGTCAAATAACTGCAGAAATGCTCCAAAACGTCAGACAAAGATTTGAGAATTATATTCGTGTATGGAAGTTAATGGACAACACCTTTGATCTGGGTTCCGGGACACAGTGGTGTGGAGGGCAATGAAAAAGCCGACGCACTTGCTAAAGAGGAACCGAATCTGTGTTCATAGGACCAGAACCATTCCTGGGCATTGCAAAAAGCACTGCCAAAGGAATTATCTCAAAATGGACGGAGGGTGCAACACTCTCGAACTGGAGAGATACCCCAGGGCTAACCCATTCGAAGGCGTTTATAAACAACCCTTCCATGAACGCCTCTGCTCAGATCCGAGAATGGAGTAGGAGAGATCTACGCATTTTAACTGGACTAATGACAGGACACTGCCGTCTGGGCAACCACATGAGAAGGATAGGTCTGCAACAAACATCGGACTGTCGATTCTGCAGCGTGGAGGACGAGTCTGCAGAGCACATTCTATGTACCTGCTCCGCTCTGGAAAGAACCAGGTTCCAGATCTTCGGATTTACCCGACTGGAGCCTACCGACTTTAGAGAAGTCTCACCCAACTCAACCATGACCTTCATCAAAAGGTGTGGCTTGTATGGTGAACTATAAGTTAGTTATGAGCCACAATTACTTTGAAGTAATTTAGTTTTTAATTATGGGAGTTGTCCTAAATTTTTCAATTTAATTTTTATGTTCACTTTTCTATTATTTTTTTAATTTTTATTATGAATTGTCTATTAAATGAGTTTTACTTTCAAATGAAGTATCATTATTTAAAATACGAAAAATTTCTGCAAGATGGCGCCAAATTCAAAAGTTACGTAATAAACTGTCACACAGTCAAATTCGTTATAAAATTACCTTTTGATGTGTCACACTTAGTACTTTCTTTATTTCAATTTCATTGGTAATAGTGACAGAGGGGTGGGGAGGGATGTAGAATAGTTGAGGATATGATCGAAAGATGTCCCCTTTGAAATAAAAATCGACCTCTGCATTTTCTCAAAAAAAAAAAATGTGTCTTCAAGATATGCGATCTGTTTCGTTTTCGGTGCCTCACCCTGTATATTACTTAGCATTCTATATTATACTCTTCACAGTTTAACAGACCCCCGTAACCAGTGGCGTGCCGAAAGGGCCCGCAATATGGGGGGCCCTGGGAATCCGCTCAGACTCGACCTCGACTACCTCGAGCAAGCTTTTTACATAGTAATAACTATAATACTTATACTTAATTATATTTTGCCTTATCAGCACCTATTTTATGGCAAAATTCGACAACACAACAAAGTAGTCGAATGTAGAATCCAAAACGACAAGATTAAGTGAGGTCTTTATAAATTTGCGTAAAATCAAAATAACCATATAATTAAATTTCAGCTTACAATAAGTACACTTGAATTTTTTTAATTTACATTTGTAATTACCAATTTTATCATCATATACATCTATTTCATTACAAACGTTATTAAAGTTTTTGCAAATGGTGTATACAGGAGGTGTCTAGATCTAGGTAGATAAAATCAAATTTCGTTTCAGCTCAGGACAATTATTAAGATTATTAATGATTTTAAAGATAAACAAACACGAGTTGTATGTCCTATTGTCTTTTATTGATAAAAGTGAGAAGCAGTTTAGTAACAGATCATCATATCCTTGTGGGGAGTATACACCATCAATTTAGAATGCTATGTACTTTACAAAAACTCTTCGATATGACTCAAGTTAGATTTTATGGATATTGTATAGAGGTGACCATACCAATAAACTATAGTATAAACGGGGTTTCAACAATATGTCTATTAAAACAACCAATGCAGACTCTTTATTAACCAGAATTCATTTATAAAATGCGTTCTCGGCCGTCAGATAAACAAACTCCCACAAACCATCTCCAACCGATTTTGCAACCGTCTTGCTCGTTCTAATGCAGCACCCGATGCGACATTTCTTTCTCCTGATATAAGCATCATTTTTTTACAGTTTGACAAATGCGCACTCAAGTTTTTTGTACATCTTAGAGTATTAATAAATTAATGTAGAAAAAGAAAAACATATCTATGAACTAAACAATATAAAGATTCTCTTTTTAAGTAAAAACCAAACAAATATTAAAAACTTACCTCAACCACGTCAAGAAATACGGCGCTTGTCCCAACAGACTTAATGTGTACATAGAGTATCTAATAATTTCAGTAACAGACCAAGCCAACAGAGCCAAGGCGAGTCCTATACTGTGACGGGGAGCTTCGGTGGCCATGAGGATTCCGCAAACCACGATAACCCTAGACGCCACCTGGAATGCCGTAAGAACCGGATTTGCCCTGACCAATCCCGTGGCGGCATGCACCACTTCCAGAACGGCGGCGTTTTGAAATAGGATTACAGTCCATTTCACTTGGTCGTACAACGGTACCGAGGGGGTGAAGAGGTAGTGTGAGAACACTTGGAAAAGGAGGTAGGTCCAACTAAAAAGAGAAAAAAATAAAACAATTAGAATTGATATAATGTACCGTTTATTTAGCAATACATTGTGGATATACAGTGCGCTAACCAACGCATCAAGCAAAATAAATCTGAATCTCGAAAGAAAACTGTCCAAATTTTTGTAAGTAACACTTTTGTGTCCCAGTGACTTACTTACTTTAAGATTTATTTAATAGAACACAAAAGTAAGTCCAATCAACGATAGGTAAGAAATAAAGCAACCGAAAACAATATTAAGTCCACACTTTTTTTGTGGACATAATTAGCTCTAATGTAAAATTTTATAATGTGACATAGGACAGTTTTCTTCCAAGGTTCAGAAATATGAGACACTTAATTACGTCCGTAAGAGGTGTAAAGAGAGTAACTTACTATACTTATGCGGGTTTCGGATTAACAAAATTATGCAAATCGACAACCAGTTCCAATAAGCCTCTTCCCAAGAAATTAGGTAAAATTGCCCTAATGGTCAGATTTAAATTAAAATAACATTAGGGTAGGTACTAAATTTGTTACAAATATTGCAGTTGAATTGATTCTTTGCAAGTGTTGACATTGTATGTATATTGTAAATTTAGTGAAAATTTTAAAAATGCCTAGACGTGTGTTAGATGTAGATAGTCTAATTTCTAGTGTACATAAGTATTTTACGGATGAAAAAGAAAATGGCGGTCCTTTAAAATCGGTCATGTCTGTACAACAACGCGTATGCGATGCTCTAGGAAATAGAGAAACCAAATTAAGAGGAGTATTACAAAATCACAATAGTTAACTGCCGAAAGAATATCACCGCAAAACTCGCCCATCATTGAAAACGAAAGATTCCAGATGGAAAGAAATTTGAAATTCGTGATACCATTTATCGAATGAGGGCCAACAAGGAACATGTGACCTTAAATACAATTCTCTCGGAATTAATAGATAGAAAATTTGACGACATTGGCAGAACAAGTCTATGGCAAGTGATACATAACTTGGGTTTCAAATTTCAAAAGGAGGATAACAGAAAGAGAATTAACTTTCTAAGAAAATATTCTAAATTTAAAGAAGAAGGGGCGAATTTTATATATTTAGACGAAACATTGATATTTTCTAGGGGTGCAACCAAGAGAATATGGCAAGATCGTAACGTAAAGTCCATCAAACATACCGATGGAGAAGGAAAACGACACATAATTTTACATGCAGGAGGGAAATCGGGTTTTATAGGAGGTGCTGATTTAATATTTTCATCTAAATCAAAATCCAGTGACTATCACGATAATATGAACACAGAAATGTTTGTAAAATGTTTGCATGAAAAACTTCTCCCAGGTTTAAGGGAGCCCAGCGTAATTATTTTAGACAATGCACCTTACCATTCTGAAGTATTAAACAAAAGTCCAACGAATTCTTGGAAAAATTAACATACACCATTTCCTCAATATATATTAAAATCAGAATTATTACGCTTGGCAAATATACACGCAAAACCAAAAACCTTTGTTGTGGATCAGAATATTGAAAGTTACGGTTATCAAGTTTTATATCTGCCACCGTATCATTGCCAGTTTAATCCCATCGAATATATATATGGGGAATAGCAAAACAATATTATGACAACCATATTGGGCCTAATGGTTATAGTGATGACGCAGTTCGGGAAACTTGGCGAAAAGCACTTTCAATTGCAACTCCAGAAGTGTGGCGGAACTGTATATCCAAGTGCGAGAAACTAATGGAAGATTGGTGGACTCGTGAAAATAAAATAAACGAAATAAGTCCAATCATAATAACAATTAATGGTGATGACAGTGATGATGATGACGATTATGATATTTTGGATGATAATGACTGATTTTCATTTTTGTTGGCAATTTCAATTTTTTTATTTTTCATTTGAAATTCTCTACATGGAACAAATTTTTATGTTAGAAAATATTTTATTTGAGCTAAATAACCCTCTTATTATACATAGACTATATTTTCTGTGTGAAGTGTAATATAAAATTATTATTAGGTTTATAATAGCCACATTAGACTCCATTAATGAAGAAGTTTAATTCTGATCTCAATTATAAAAAAGATTCTCCATTATTATTTAATTAAAAAGTTGTATATTATTTTTCATTTCATTTAACCAGTTGATATTTCCCCAAAGAACAGGTCAAACTTTCGGGTACTTACCTGGAAATACTCATAAAATTTTTAATCCGAAACCCGCGTAAGTATAGCGAACAGACTGTAGTTTAACTTTCGATGGAAAAGGAAAGGATATTGCGTTCCACACTCCACAGTCGGTGGTCAAAGCACACATTTCTAAATTTCGGCAACGCATAGACTGCTTTAGGGTATACTGTGAAACATGGCGAATTATGCAATTATCACGTATGATTGGACGCTTAAAAAGCATGGATACATCTCTACTGGACCACCAAATGAATGCTCCATAAATGCTTTGTGCAGCTATGCTAATATTGTCTTGCAATCATCAGTGATGTACGATCCACGTTAATTTTGAGTCCAACATTATTATTAGGAACTTAAACTAGTTAGTAATCACAATGAATGCACTGGTTCATTCTAAAAGATGTGGGACCCTTTATGTCTCCTATATACTCTTTTTGGCTGGCGAAGAGTACTATTACGCTTTTTGGGACTTCCTTTATAGGAAATTATCACAGGAAAACTCAAACCTTTAAAACAAGCATTTCCTTTTGTTAACAGCGTCAATGGTGTAGACAGTACGTAGTACCATAGATAAGACAAAAACATGAATCACGTGTGATTCTATTATAAACACTTAATTAGAGTCCAATTATAAAAAAATAAAAACGCAAGATTCGTTCAATTATACAACCAATTACAGTTATAATAATATGGTTAAATTAATTGTTTTTCCAGATAGGTATGATAAAATGGAAATTTACAATAAATAATAAATTATTGATATGGTTTATACAGGGAAAATCGTAAAGTAATTAAGGGCTATCCTCCGACGGAATTTTTAAGCCAAAAACAGCATGATTAATATTTTTTAAACATTGGTATTATTCAAGATAGAAAAATGTGACCATATTACGTATTTTAAGGCGCTAATTATGTCGTTATAAGAAATAATTTGGAAAATCTAATTCTATGTATCCCTGCTGCAAATCTTAAACTTTGTCCTAAAATGTTCTTTCTTCAAAAAAGTCAAAAAATAAGTTATTAATCACGCACGGCCTGACCCTCTACAAGTAACATTTTTCTAACCGTAATGTGGCGCCCTTCGCACTGAAATCTATTAACAACAAAACTAATAGATAAACAATCTATTGACCCGCCTTCGTCAAGTGAGAAATTTGCAACGGCCCGCACCCCCCTGATAATTTTAAGTAAGGGATCAGTTGGAAGATGACTCTTAAGGTAATTTTTATGTTTATTGATTTTTTTTTTAATTAAAGGAAATAGTAAAATCAATAGTTATTTAAATAATTATAAAAATTGCTAATTTTCCGATATTTTTCATAGTTATAAATACCAATAAACCTAAGCATTGCAAATATATTATAGAGGGTGGGTCACTAATAAATCACTATTCAAAATCCTATGTATTTCAATGTACCTATACATTAAGAATTTTTTACTCAGAGCTTTATTTTAAATATATTTGTATGATAAATTAACAAATTATTTTCAGAGACATCTTGTAAACAGATATCATTTAAACATTTCAGGCAAATATTTTTATATAAAAAAAGATAAAATAAAATCTAATGTAAATATATTTCTCCTTTATTTAGCAAAACTAATAGCATATTACAATTAAATAAAATTACAAAAAAAAATATCTAAAAATATAAAACAAAATATAACACTTTAAACACTAAAATATCACAGATGCTAGCTCATTAACTTATAATCTCTTACTGTAACATCCATAATATATTAGTTCTTTTATCACATGACAATAATATCTTCATCCCTCTATTTTGTAATTTATGAAGTCTGTTGGATTCATTCTGATTAAGTAAATACATAATGGCGGCACAGTAAGTGAAATGATGCAAAATTATACTATAATATAAAAGAATCAATGACCATTTATTAAGATATTTTGAGCACCGGTACAAGTACTTGATTTTAAATGCTACTATTTTAACTATATAGTTTGCATGATCTTTAAAAATCAACATATAGTCTTCTACTACTACTCCCAGGTATTTAATTTTTTTTACGACTTCAATGTAATACCTACCATTCATATATTTGCTTTAATGTGGCATTTATAGTAGTGGTTACTTCCTGCAAATTATTAGCAGAATAATACAGCAATATATCAACTGCAAGCAGATACATGGAGCAACCACCTGCAGCATGGGAAATATCATCAATATATAGAAGGGACAATAATGGGCCCAATACGTTTCCCTGGGGTACACTCTTGGATACACCTAATTATTTTTTTGTTTTCTTGATAAAATATTTTTAAATATCAATTTGTGTATCTTGACACCAAAAATTATAACCTGAATTTTCAACTTTAGAACAAAATAAACTTATTACTAGAATACAGTCGGGCTTCAGAAGCAAACATAACTGTGAATCAGCTATCCAGTGTGTTATAATATGATTGGAAATATAAATTTGATAAAAACTATCTAACATTGGCAGTTTTTATAGAACTTCAAAGGGCATTCAAGACTGTTGATCATAATAATAATAACAAAAAAGAATCATATAAATCAAACAAGGTGGTAAAGAATTATTGCTAAACATACATAAAAAATTAAGAGTTTGAGGATTTTCTCATGGACCCAATTATTAGATTTTGATCAAATTTATATGGGACCATCCCTAAAGTACTTCCTTTGTAACAAAAAAAGAATCATTGAAATCGGACACTCTGTTAAAGAATTATCGCTGTACATAAAAAAAATATACTGACAAATGAGAACCTCCTCCTTTTTTGAATTCAGTTAACAAATAGTTATTTCTTTCTTTTTCTAGTGAGGCAAATAAATTATTAATTTATAATTAAAAAATACTTATTAGTTATGTCTAGAAAACAATGGGACAAAATAATTGTTCTTTAACTAATGAGACTGTAAAACAACAAAGTTATTTCTTTTTCTAGTGACAAAAGTAAATTACTTAAATAATTATAAATTCATTAGGTACTTACTTAATTTATAATTAAAAAATACTTATTAGGTATACCTAGGTCCTATAAGACCAAAATTGTAGTCTTTTTACAATATATTGCCCATTCAATTTAACAAATTGAAAAATGGTACAATTATTAATTATATTTCTAACCTTGTATTACTAGTTCACTTTAATTAATAATATTTAATGAGCTCATTAGGTATTCTAATAATAAATAAGTCTACTGTACAGAAATAGCTAATTATTATGTGAGTGAAGTTGAAAGGTCGCCATAGATTTTAATAAAAATTTACTTTAAAAACACCCCATGAACCATTTCTTCTAATTGATATTTCAAATTTTAATACTCCAGAATAGGTATTCCTATTGGATTTTTAATATTATAAATTAGTAGGTACCTACTCAAATAATTTAAACTATTTTTTAAAGTTATGGACTTTGGATGCCTGCCACTCATACAAGATGTTAATATCAGTTTTAGTTTGGTTCTGATTTACTTAATCTTTTAGCCAATACTGCGGTTTACAGCATATTTAAATTGCCTCAACGTCGAGCTCAACATTCATGTAGTCATTCATGGAAACTCTAAAATGAACTTTCTGTACGTAGGTATATCTTGTCCCAAATGTATTTCAGTGTGTTTCCTACTGCTGCCAGTGCTACCATTATTATAACCATTCACTATATAAATCTCGAATATTTGGCTGAGAAAGAGGTCAAATGAGTACAAACTCATATTCTGCATGACAACTTCTCCAATGGCTTTTCTTGATCAATTTATTATTGTCACCTAGCTGAGCCAGGTATTCCAAAAAATATATAGTAGGTAGTTGCCACATACATAAAAAGTTTAATGCCTTACACCAAACGATACTGCCATTTCAGCAAAAGTTCTCAAATAACATTTTTAACTAAAACCAAAGAAATTTGCAATTGAAGAAACTTACCCCACCGTTTGTATTCCATTATAAGCAATTAAATACCCATTGGCAGCACTAGCACATCCCTTGCACTGAGCTCCTTTTTCCTTGGCCATACCTCTGCCGTGTTTACTAAACTACTAAAAGTTGATTCATTAAAAAGCTGCTTTATCAAGAAAGTAATAACTGTTAAAACGGCTGGCACTGGGCATACGGTTGACTCCTCGGTCTCCTCTTGTCCTTCACCTTGAACTTAAAACTGGAAAATTTCGTTGTTGATTTCGTTTTCGTTTTTTCGTATTTCGTTTCATTAACCTTAAATATTTGATAGGCGGCTATCGGCGACATCTGTTTACATTTCTTGGAACTCATCTAAATATGCGTAAAAAAATTTGCAGATCGTGATAACCGTAGATATACAATGTGATAAGGAGGAAAAGCATTATAGTCGGAGGGCTTCTGACGAATTTCGTGAAGGTATTTCTTAAAATTATAAAAAACAGTACTGTGTATGGATGAATCTGGAATCGAGAGTCAGGAAGGCGGAAGGCACTTGCTGTTATTTTGCTACTTCCCATCTTACCCGGTCATGTTACCGGAAATGGTATTAGTTGCTTTTTAAATGGATCACACTCTATATATTTGATATTGTTTGAAATCTCTAGGATTCAAATTGCTTCTGACAGTGGTGCCAAATTTTCTTTTTTTCCAAATAAATGTTGTTTTTGAGATGGAAGGCTATAAACTGGAAATAATGGTCTAAGGGCCGATCCACCACATTATTAATGTCATTTAACACCCCAGATAGCACAGGACGTCCTAAGGACGTCCATTACTTGTCCAATTATCGTATGTACGTCCAGGGACCAATTCTGGACGTTTTAAGAATGTCCAGTTTAGTAAATCCTCGGACGTCAAGAAATAGATATCCACAGAACGTTAATTTTATGTGCTTTACTATATTTCCATAGATTCACATGGATTTTCAATAAGCGATTAAATTATTTTCAGGTTCAGTTAAGAAGGCAAATATGGCCAAATTAAAAAAAAAAAACAACTGCTGTCAATCCAGGCATGGTTGAAAAGAGCAAAGTATAGGAGGGACGGGATGAATTTGCCGAAAAAGTTTTAATGATTTTATTATTTATAGGTTATTTGCTTCGAAATACATTTTTTTGAAATTATTTATTATTTTCACTCATTTCCTTAAACATCCTGTTATTCCCCATTTGAGCTTTTGAAAATGTCCATGGAATGTTCTTAAATGGCCGTTCTTAAGACATCCTGATTATTAAACAATGGACGTTCCAAAAGACGTCCACGTCCGTGAAATGGACGTTTTAAGGATATCCTGAATGTCCAAGCATGACGTTTTTAGAACGTCCATAAGACGTATTTGTGCTATCTGGGACAATGGTGGAGTCGGCCCTAATAGCCTCGAATAAATCGAGTCCTATGATCTATCAGCAACCAATCACAGCCCGGCAAGTCAGGGCCCCCAGCAACTGCAGGTAAGTGCCGTTAAACTTTAATCTGTATTTATTATGCTCAAGTACCATCTCGTCATCTCGATTGAGATACGGGATTGGTCAACTGATTCTAGTGACGTTTTTGTTCTTTAAATGAGATCCTAAGAATAATAGGTAAAGTTCCTAAATATTATTTGTCGACCATATTTGTAGAATACGGTATTTTGCTTCTAGCTTCATTTGCTGCGTTTGAGAATCCACATCGGATGCATTTTTTACATCTCGAGCGTTTTTTTATCCACATCGGACACATCTGTCCCATTACATTTACGTATACTGCATCACGTGATCAAAGATTTTTTACATCTCAGATGCATCCGATGTGGATTCTCAAACGCAGCAATTATATATATGTTATTTATATGTTTTTAAGAATTTAAACCAAATATAGATTTCATAATTTTAGAACTAGTCATATATTAGTTGTTATATAGATAAAATTTAACTAAAAGGTCTTTTAAATATATATAGGACCCATTTTATACAATAAAATTCCGGACTTCATAAAAAATTGTAGAACAGATATTTTATTTAAGAATAAGCTGAAAAAGTTTTTAAAAATATATATAATGTCTATTCTATAGAGCATTGTTTTTAATTTTAAATATTGTTTATAATTACTAGTATTTTTGACGAATAATACATTGTAAAAAATTGTCTATATAAAATAAAATATCTGTTTATCTATTGTAATATTACTCACCAGAAGTTACTTGGCCTCGGTCATAAATTTGTTTCGGTCTAAAAATGTAGACTTTTATATTAAAACACTATTTTACTTTATATGAACACTTTATTGTTATTAGAGACGACTTAACACTTCGAGATTAAAATATGACAAAGAGTATACCGTATATGATTCACCCACTGACTCAGTAATTCGGAAAATCAAAGTATGTGGTAATTCGAGATCTATAAATCATTTGTCACGACTTACAATATACAGTACGTTTCAATATTAATATGAACAACAATTATAATTTATATGAAATACATTGCGCAGACTGCACAAAGATCAACTTTCTATATTTATAGGATTTGGTACACAAATAACTATTTTATTTCTATGATATTAAAAATTTATGTAAAACGTATTTCTCATGTATAAAATTTTATTAATTATAAAACCTGAATCGATAACTTAAATCACTGAACATGTTGATATTTTACTAATAAAGCTACAGTTTATTTATCTTGGCGTTTTATTTAAATATAATTATATATTTATCTGAATGAAATTAATGCCGCTAGTTAAGGTTTAAGACCTCGTCACTTCAACCTTTTAATGCTTCCAGTTGATGTTTGTCTAAATAAGACATCTAACCCAGACAACACACCAAATCCCAGATATATCCACAAAATATCTTTTGTGGATATCCAATATATCCACAGGATATCTGAAATATTCCGTGGATCTAATATGGATATCCGTCTATATCCAGAATATAGAAGATATCCTATGGATATCCAGCAAAATATCTAATGGGTATCTTCCAGACAATACAAGAAATCCCAGAGATATCCACAGAATATATTTTGTGGATATCCAATATATCCAGTGGATCTAATATGGATATCCAAATGCCCTCATAAGGGTCTATTCTGTAACAATTCCTTTATATTTAACGGCCTTTAAAAATATTTTCTTCTTTACTTCTGTCATTATTTAAACGGATCTTTAAAATACATTAGAGGACTATCTTAAAGAAATCTGTTTAAATAATGACAGAAGTAAATTAACGAATACGAAAATATATTTAAGGCCACCAATATTTTTAAAGGCCGTTAAATATAAAGGAATTGTTACAGAATAGAGATAAGTCTCTGTTACTATATTAGAGTGGCCACTGTAGATTTTTGGACCCAGGTCTAAGTGACCTGGCAACGCTGTATATGTTTAATTGATTTGTCACTTGTCATTGTCAATCTAATATCCATGGTGGTTTATTTTCCATAAGGATAATCATTATTTATCTGATGTTTATTGGATTTATTGTGAAAAGAAAAAATGTCGAAGGATACTCATATAGATCGTGATTTAGATTTATCGAATGCCAATAGAGGTGTTTGGCTTGTAAAGGTACCAAAATATGTGGCAGAACGATGGGAAAAGGCAACTGGCGATATGGAGGTTGGAAAACTAAAGATTGCAAAGTAAGTGTATTTTTTTCACATCTTAAAATCAAATTGATGTGTTATTTTATTTGTTAGGCCTATAGGACAAAAAGCTCAAGTTTCATTAACCCTTTCATCTGCCATCCTAAATTTGAATGAACCAGGACAAGAAAGTATCCCCAAAAACCACAGACTAGATGTTTCTACAGTTACACAACAAACTTTGGGCGTTTTTTCTCATGTTCAACGTAAGATTACTTGCCATTTATTCATCTTGATTTTTTATTTACCTACTTACAGCTCTGAACAGTGATGCTTTAATACCAGAGACAGAAAAATTGCATATGGAAGGGAAAATAGTGCAAAAATTGGAATGTAGACCATATGCTGATACTTGCTATATGAAATTGAAGCTGGAATCGATTAGGAAAGCTTCTTTACCAACTAGGCAGGTTAAACAATTGGACAGAGTGGTGCAAACATATAAACCTGTATCAGATCATAAAAATAATGTGAGTAGACTTAAAATTAATTTTCTCAGCAATTGGAAAATATATTTGTTTATTTTAGATTGAATACATGGAAAGGAAGAAAGCTGAAGGCAAAAAGGCACGTGATGACAAAGATGCAGTTTTGGAAATGTTATTTGCTGCTTTTGAAAAACACCAGTATTACAATATCAAGGACTTGGTTAAAATTACAAAGCAACCTATTACATACTTAAAAGAGATCTTGAAAGAAGTGTGTAATTATAATTTAAAGAATCCTCATAAAAATATGTGGGAACTCAAACCTGAATATAGACATTATAAACAAGACACTGAAGCTGGTAAAAAAGATGACTCAGATGATGATTGAAATTTTATGTTCAGTAGACCTTACATTGTATTTATTCTAAAGTAAAAACAGTAACATTTCTACTAGAATTAAGTTGTTATCTATAGTTTTCTAACATAAAAATATTTTAATTATACAAATAGAAGAAATAAACTTTAACTTTTGAAAAAAAATTCATTTAGTAGTATATCAAAATTCTATGTATTTATGGTTTGAAAAAGTTGAAGTTGTATGTATATTTTTACCAAAATATCATTTTTATTAATAAATAGCCCTGATTCGATCAGAATCTACTAATTTTTTTCTTTAATTTCTTATGGTGTACATTTATAGGATGTTAAAATTAAAACACAGACATCACAATTGTTTTAATGTTATATTTTTACAACATATATATTTTTTAATAAAATATATTCAAATAAATATATTTATCTAAATATTTCCAAAACAAAAACAGTTTGATACAAATTTGACTAAACTATAAAAATATATAAATGCTTGGGTAATTTTTGTTCAATTCATACAAATAGCTTATACATTATGTTTAAAATCAACATATATAGTACAATTTTTGATATAAAAATATTGTCTCAAAAAAAAAAAATACAGGAAACAAGGGTCACAACTACAGATTTCTGTTTTAAAATAGTTATTTGGTTAAATGGAATATAAAAATATAAAGATTGTTCTTGTAGAACTCTTAAAAATAAAGTAAAAAAAAAGTATTTGATACTCCTGCTTATCGCTATAGTAAAAATATGCTTTAAATTATTAATATCTTTAAGAAGAAATAAATGCATTAAAATCAATTCACACTTTAAATACTTGATGATTATTTTTAAATTAACCATAAGTTAAATAAACAGAACAATAATAAAACATTTAAATACAAGCCTAATGCTGTCAGTCATATAAAAGAATATCAAAAAATATTTAGCAAATACATATTTGAGATTCTTATTGAGAAATACATTTATATATTTTGTGTTAATATTTTTTGGCACTAAATATATTTTGCTTCTAATTGAATTGTCAATTGCCATTTTAAATAAGTAATTAGATCCAAATTGATTAGAAATTGTCTTAAAGCTTTAAAGAAACACCAAAAATAACATGTTTCATTATAAATTTGTCGGTTAGGAAGACTATCCTAAGTCATTTTCTATTAGTTTTGACCTTTACATATTTGAAAGTTTTACTGCCCTATAAGGAAGACAATTTTAGGCAAGTTTTGTTCCCTATATGGCTTTTTAGGACATTAGATAGTATTGTACAAACTATAATTAAATAAGACTTAGGATATTATGTCAATAACTTATTTTTTCAAAAAATTATAGTTTAAATGGACATAAACTTTTCTTCTCAACCGACGAATTGTTGACAACACCTCTGAAAAATTGTCAAATTGAAATATTTACAAAAAAGGTAAATATTAACTTACAAAAGCTCCTGATACAAGATAGTTTTTCACAGGATCTGTTAAAACTATAAAATTGAGACAAACAGTAAAATAGATATACAAATCAAATAACACTTTTTTTAAATTAAATTCTTGACCTTCCTGGCCCTCCACCAACTTTAATATCAAACAATTTTCTCACAAAATATACCTGAACAGCTGTTGTCATTGTAATAATAATAATTTGAATAATAGACCACCTGATGACATAAGAATTGTTATCTTGTAACAAATTAAAATCCCAAGTTTCTCTGGCTCTACTATGGTGTTGATATTGTAACATATTATTGATATTCCTCTCGACTCCCACTATTGTTGAAGTGAAATTTTCCATGTTCATGTTCAAAGCCTCGATTTCTTTTGTGTATATATCCCACATGTCATAACGCACAACAGTAATGTAAATATTAACTAATTTAGCGTTAAATCTCGAGAACTGGTTATCAATACACACAGAGTAATATCCTCCCATAGACTGTTGATCTTGGTACTCACTATTTGCTTTCCATTGGTAAGGGTGAACTATTTGACCAGAGGGATGCCTTACTGCAAACCCAGCCATTCCATCACCACCCCTAACGACTTGGAAACTAACATAGAATGTTGCTCCGGGGTTAACATATTGAAAATAACAGTCTTCTTTACCTGGATCTATATGAACTTTATAGTCCATAGCTACAGCTGGTAGATTTTCATACCATGGTACAGTTACTGGAGCTAGTTGGGGTATTGAAAATTCGATAAAACATAATAACAATAACGAAAATCGTAAAAGTAACGTGGCAGTTTGAACCATTTTCAAGATACAATTGATTGGTTATGTCTTAAAATATGCATACTTTCACTTCATGTTTTCAATGTCTTTTTTTGTGTAACGGATTAATTTTAAAGATTTATAATCTTAAGTAAAACTATTATTTTATGAAGGCGCTGATAAAAATAATTCTATAATAATATATCCGGTTTTTTTATCGTTTTATGATACTTTTAAAAATAAAAAGGTAAACAAATGATTGGCATTTTTATATAGTAAGAGGCATCTCCTTAATCTTCTTTTTTCCGCGTTGTGACTATTGCAGTTAACGACCAATACTTCTTCACTTTTTATTGTCCCTCTTTGTATTCAAACTATTCGGCTCGAGCTCACGTAACACAAAATTCAGAAAGCAGTTGACAGTTGATGCGTTTTATAATTTGACGTTTTGATTGAAAGTTTTAACGGAAATTTGTGTTTTGATTTGAAAGAGTTTATAAAAAATTGTTGAAGAAATTGAATTAACTGTAAGTGTAGGATTATACAGCAAAAAAGCTGCGACCATGGGGATGCCAAACAGCAAGTTTGGTAAAGAAATGCCCACGAGTGAGTTGCAGGAGGGAAGTGTTCCTTCGACCCCTATTTTAACACCAAAAATTATAAAGCTTTCTGAAATGGATCCTCGGTCACCTAGTTTACATATAGCCAGAACTCCACTTGAGGTAAATATTCATTTTTATTAAGACGAAATAATGAATTTGATAACTCTTGATAATTTTTTATATAAAAAAAAAATCAAAATGTATGGATACATTAAAAGTTTAATTAATGAAAAATATGCTATTAAATATAACAGACATACCCGCATTAAATTATGATTAAGTTATAATCATTGATCATTGCATAAAGTAACAAAATTCTGTCAAAATTTGATTGTCAAATTATTCAGTTCACTAAGAGCACAGCATATAAAATGTTTATAAGAGGCTCAGTACTTTCATATAAAATTTAACAAAAATTACATTAAACTATGACTAAGGTATATTAGGAAAATTTAAAAAAATTGTATTTCGTTTGTGGAAGGTGCAACATCTTTCTAGTATAGGATTTTCAGAATAGTCCAAGTGAACCTTACCAAAGATTTCTTCTCACTACACTTATCTTGCATTTGTGTTGATTTCTAATAAGTTTTCCATATTCTCTATTAAAAAGATGATAAAATTTTTTCATTATCAGTTTTTTATTTTATACAGTGTAAAATAATAGAGTGGAAAATGGAAATAATATTCATCCAGTATAGTTTAGGTCAGACATATTATCTTGAAAATTTAAATAGGCTGCTTTTGTTGTTTTTTACTATGATGTATGTCGATGTGACCCCATCACAAGCTTTTTTGCATAACCTATACAGGGCGAATATTATTTATGTTTTCCACTTTGTTGGTTCACATTGTAAAAAACAGTATCTCTTTACAGCTATTGTCAGCCGCCGCCGAAAAATTGGAATTACTAAGTGACAATGAAACTCCAGTAAAAAATAAATTTATACTAGGTATAGACCCAAGGTCTCCTACAACAGATTTCAAAAGAACCCCCATTATTCTTGATCCTACTGAAGGTGACTTTCCAAGAACGTTGCGTAATAAAAACTTAGATAAAGTTCGCAGAACTGAATTACTCACGTCTCCCATAAGGAGTACAGAAGAGTATAAAGCATCTCCATCTGTAATTCCACCTAAGTTGCTTCAAAGTAGTCCCATTAAAGCTAGAACGGATGCATATAAAAGGCGTTCTTTAGTAGGATTACTAGAAACTAATATAGATTTTACAGAAACTGACTTGGATAGTATTTTAAAAGAAAAATATAAAACTGAAAATGTAGAAGAAATTACAGAAACTAAAGAATGTTTCCCTCCTGATCTTGAAGCCTCTAGTGAGAACAATAATCTAAATAACAAATCAGACAATGAAATACTAGAAAATTCTAATATCCTTGAATCATTAGAGGGCTTAATTGAAAATATTGATATAAAAGCATCAGCAGAACATGAAGCGAACATAGACAACCAAAGTGAAGCAATAGATGATAAGGAAATGACAGTTGATAGTCTTCAAGAAATAGAAAATAATTCACAAGAGAACATTGAAGATTTAGAAAATTCTAATGAAACTCAATCAGAGGATACTCCCATAAACATTCCAGATCAGATCAAATCAGCTCCAGTTTCTCCCCCAACTATACCATTAAGCCCTATACTACCCTCTAAAGAAATCAAGTCTGCTCCTGATACCCCTCCTTTGGTGGATTTAACAGCAGATATTAAAGAACTAGACAAAAAATTAACCAATTTAATCTATGAAGACGATCTAGTAGTATGTCCAAGAATTGTTAAATTAAAGGATAATTCTGAACGATCACCACTCAAGAACTACAATAAAAACGAATCAAGGACAAAAGCAATACAAAAATTAAAAGTCAGTGATAAGCCCAGGAGAACAGAGTATGCGGTCAGTAAAATTCCCGTGTTTAGAGACAAAAAAGGTAAAATGAAGAATCAAGTTCAATGTGAGAATACACCTCCGAGAAATATGGAGAAGAAAGCTAGACATAAGCAAGGCGACTGGGATACAAAAGATAATACTTTATATTTGTAGATAATTTAGATATAGTTCCAATTTAGTTGTGATTTTTTTAAGAGTTTCAATAATTTTGTCTTGCCAGTTTGATATGTAGGTAATTTTTTGTGGAACTGACAATTCATTTTTGTATTTTTTTTATTATTAGTGAATAAAAAGAATTTCTAAACAGAATATGATTTTTCTAAGATTTATATTGTGAACATATTATTTATAATTTTATAGCTATTGCTCATAATAATTATTAAACATGAAATATGGGGCAGGATAAAACTGCTAAGGTTTAAAGTAAATAGGTATGCCATTATTTTTTGTTTCAAACCTGTAGTTAATAATAACAAGTTCAAGAAAAATTTTACTTGATAACAAAGATTATTAATTAAAAAATTGACTCCCTCATTGGAGGTTAAATGACACTTTTTTAATAGTTTGTATATACATATATTTTTCAAGGTAAAATAAAAAGTTTTTAAACATAGTGTAAGGGGTTTTCTCGCCACAGAGAAAACGGTTCCTTACGAATGGCGCTGGTTACGGGCGGTTCTCGAGCGCCAGATTTTTGGTGATGGTTTACTCCACAAACTTTCGAAACGGTGTCGAAAGTACTCGGGTAGCTACAGATGGAGATGAAAAATTCCAGTGGAACTATTTACAAAAAAAGGAATAAATTAATGTATTTCAATGCCCACCCTCACGGAAAATGTACAAACCCTGAACAAAAATAAACAAACAAAACGGCCGGAAATGACTTCCGAGTAGTCTCAATCAGACGTAAAGAAAAAAAAATGAAATCAATAATTGTAGTTATCACGGTCGCAGCAAAAGTTTATTATTGAACTGTATTCGGTTGTTGAGCTAAAACTGTAACTTGCTATTTCGCTCGGAAATATTAATTTGGTCGTAGCAAAAATTAACTGTTAAATTGTCTAATCGGTATTTGCAATCAAATGTAATTGAATGCTTCGACAAAGCAAAATATCATATGCTGTTGCAGAGAATGCGAAGAGACAGGTTCGGGACAATACTAATTCCAGGGCTAAAACCGGGAATCTATGAGATTTACTCAAACTAGTGGTTGGAAAGTAAAACCAACTAACAACCGGGATAGTACATTATCTCTGAATGAAACGATCTTAATCACGAGCCGCTTCAGACTGGGCAATGATACTATTTAAGTTCAATTAAAATAATGGAGTCTTACGCAAATGAGGGTTTCAGACGTAAAATAAACTAATAACCGGGATAGCACATTATCTCTGAATGAAGTGATCGTAATCACGAGCCGCTTCAGACAGGGGAATGATACTATTTTAGTTCTGTTGAAATAACGGAGACTTACGCAAATGAATGTTTTAGATGTAAAATAAACTAATAACCGGGATAACACCTTATCTCTGGATGAAGTGATCGTAATCACGAGCCGCTTCAGACAGGGAATGATGCTATTTAAATTCTCTTAAAATTTGCGGTTCGGAGAATAAAACAAAAGAAAATGTCTCGTCGCAATTCTACCAATATAACCAATCAAAACATTAGACAATTCCCAAACAGTTCCTACCAATTATTTATTGGATAAAGTTTTTAATAAACTATATTATTTGTTCACGGAAATTTCCAGTAGTAGGAAAAATTAACTATACGACTATGTTTACGATCGAATAAAAATATAAATTATTTAACGGTTAAAACTTTAAATAAACTAAAATTAAATTTATTATTTATTCACGGAAATTTCCAGTAGTAGGAAAAATTAACTATACGACTATATTTACGATCGAATGAAAAATAAATTATTTAACGGTTTAAAACTTTAAATGGACTAAAATGAAATTTATAAAGAACGGTGTATTCTAACAAAAATAAATTAAAGTATTTCTTAATCAAAACAAATTTCAATTCTTAACTCAACACGGAATATTTTTAATTAAAAATAAATCAAATTAAATCGGTTTCAAATAGCACGGCTTAACCCTTTAGCGGGCAGTGGTTGGTATTTAAACCACTTAATTTTTCTGCTTGTACGATTTAGCGCGCAGGCTGAATTTAGACCAGATCTCTGCTAGACACTTACCGGTAACGTTTTCAGGCGAAATATCAACCCGTAATAAAATTTGGCGCGCTATTTAGTGCACGTCCCAGCTTCGTCCCTAACAAGTGGTCGAATATCTGCCTCTGTACGCATACAGTTAGTTATTATTTGTTTATTTGGTTGTGTATTGAAGTACTGATTTACTGTTTTTTTATTTTAAAAATAAATGTTTATATTCATTATTTTTTTTTTATTTTGAAAAACTGAACTAGTCGATATTTTGAGTACCACGATTCGAGCCCAAAGTGTGCCATCCTGAACGTACGCTGGTCGAAAAATTGACCACCTTCTACAACTCAAAGTTCAAACTTGTAATTTTTTTAAGACACATTAATATACTTAGTTTTACTTATATAACCCACACATATCGTTATTTTTTGAAAACCTGGCAAAAAATAGTTTTGCGCGTTAAAGGGTTAAAGTCTCGGGCGAGAAAAAAAATTATCAAAACAATGACAACAATTTACCTATCGGCAAAATCGCGGCTAGGAATGAATTTCGATTTAGACTGTATCGGAATTGTATCTTATTAATTATTCAACTATTTGATTTCACGGTGTAAAAGCAAGTAAGTCTGTTCGATAAATTGGTATATTAGGAACTAAAAATTTTAATTCAATCTCGGAGCTCTTTCAGTCGTCGCGAGCCCTTCCACTACCAGAAAATCCCACCATTAAAACTCGCGCAGGCAGAGTACCTTGACGATGGTTTGAACAGCGACAAAACTGATTATATACAGGGCATATCCACGAAGTTAAAATTAAGTAAAAATCGAAATTAATACCCAGAATTAGTTAAAAAAAATAATGAAAATTGACTTCATTACAATAGTAGTTTTTTTACGTAAACGAGTGAAATTTATATTGTCTCAAAAATATATTTATCGCAAATAATTTGTATTTAAAATGCATGGAGGTTTTTTAAATTTTATTCAACACTTCATAATTAAATAACAAACATTCAAAGAAACCACACTTCTTCAAATTCTTAACGTTAAGAAATAAATAAAGGCAACATCCTGTAACAACCAAAAAGTTATTTAATAATACATTTAAAAGTTGTTTGCATTGTAACAAATGTCAATTCAGTATTGCAAAAAATGTTTATGAACCTTTCACAGTCATTTACTAGGCTTACAACACTGGCTAGTGGGAACGCTCCAATTATAAACATAATAAGCTCTATATGTTACTTCTCTTGCACACATTTTACCAGTTTTTTCCAAATTCTGGTAATACTGTGTCATTTCCACTGGTGAAATGTTATGGGTTATGAGGTGATTGTTCTTGCATCCCCTAGAAGCCCATTCCGTATCAAATCTTATGTCATGAATTCTGAAGACACCATTTACTGGTGACAACCAAAAACCGATGCTTACATCTTCAGAATTAAAAGACCTTAAAGAAAATTGATAAAAAAATACAGCCTCAAATATATGTGTCAGAATTAAAACCTACTTAAGATGCTCAATGTTTCTACCAATATATGAAACCAATTCTTTAGAAACCAGATATCCCCCTCCTAATGCATATGGAATATATCTGTCTGATGCAATCCAATTTGTATCTTTCCACTTCCCTTTTGATTTTATTTTCGCATTACCATTAAAATAACCCCAATATAAATGTGCTATTTCAGCAGGGCCACTGTTTTGAAAATTGGTTGATATAAGTTTGTTTGTAATATCAGTTTCTAAATAACCATCATGCTTTGTGGTAATCATCTCTTTTTCGATATTCATAAGGCATAATACAAATTGATTTAGATTTACAAAGCTGTCATCATCACATTTCAACACGTACTTAAAACCCAAACCGTAATCGTACTGTGTATCTAACCATTGAAAACTTAATTTCATTTTTTCTGTCAAATTTTTGTAAGAATCTTCTATTGGTAACATTAGGATATCATTGTATTGAATTTGTTCTTTGCTTATAAGTTTATTTGAATCTAGTGGTAGAGATACTACCCCTATTACAAAGTAGTGCTTCACTTTGAATACATTCTCATCACTAGGTTTCAATTTTAGCCAGGTTTCCCTAATTACCTTTCTTCTTTCGAAATTCGTGGGCGCCGACAGTATAAGGATTATAAGTTCCGGATTTTTTAATTTCGAATTCTTCATTATATTATATTCCCTATCGGAATTATCTATCTGGCAGGTCTTGTCTATGGGCATCAATGCCAAAGTAAATATACATCCAAAAATGAAAGATAATATTACAAATGAAGATGTTAGAAGCTGTTTTCCAGAGTATTTGCTCCTCATTATACCAGATCAGTTCATTTTTCGTCGTTTTTTAATATGAATTTTTTCCATTTTAGAATGACAATCAAACAAATTGTTTACATTTACAAATTGCGATCAGATAAGTTAGGTTAGGAAAATTTATTATATATCCAGTGTTGCCAGATCAAGTGCAGAGAAAAACTTGTAACTCGGCTACCGAAAAAGTGCCTTTGCAGGTCCGTTTTAGCCATTTCATGTACTTTTAAAATAAAGATAAATTAATATTTCTGACAATCAACAATAAAAAAAATTCAGTTTACTCTTCTGTTATATTTCTAAATGTAGTATATTTACCACTTGAAGTAATAAATTTCAAATGTTATATCATATATACGGGGGATGTGAAAAATAGGAATTAGGGCAGAGTTACACTTATTTTTAACCGACTTCAAAAAAGGAGGAGGTTCTCAATTCGTCGTGATATTTTTTTTTATGTATGTTCAGCGATAATTCTTTAACACGGAGCTGGATTTCAATGATTCGATTTTGGATATATTGGATATCCACAAAATATATATTCTGTGGATATCTCTGGGATTTCTTGTATTGACTGAAAGGTACCCATTAGATATTTTGCTGGATATCCATATGATATCTTCTATATTCTGGATATAGACGGACATTTGGATATCCATATTAGATCCACGGGATATTTCTGATATCCTGTAGATATATCGGATATCCACAAAAGATATTCTGTGGATATCTCTGGGATTTGGTGTGTTGTCTGGGTAATTGACAGTGCTGTGCCTAAAGTGGCGCTGGGAAACAGTAACAAAGTCTATAAAAAAGACGAGGCTAGTAACGTTAGTAGTTAATGCCGCGCCGCCGGGATATTGCTGGCCTTTTTATGTAATTGAAGAGAACATGAATGCGACGAATAGAAGGTTAAAGCCTACTTTTAGCTTTTCGATAGTGGCCCAGCGTTATGTTGGTTAATGAAGGGTAAGTAACTGTATTGGGTAACAGCATGGTAAAAGTCAAAAGTTCATGGATGCAGACATTAAGTTTGTTCCAACACGCGCGAAAACCGTAATATTACCGTACAAATCATGCGCTGTGTACAATTTTTGCGCAGAGCGCATGATTTGTACGGTAATATTACGGTTTTCTCGCGTGTTGGAGCAGACCTATAGATGATCGCTTGCTATACTGCTCAACGAGTGGACATTTACAATATATTTTTTAAATAGCTTCATTTAAATGATTTGATATGTCATATCGCAAAATAGTGTTTATATCGACTCTACCTACTTCATTTTATCTCGATGGCTATCAGCCATTCTTTGTGAACTCAGTATTTAGTTTCCATTCTTTCCTCTATGTTTTTATTTTTACTGCCTTTTACCCCTTTTCAGTTTTTTATACTCTGTCGTTGAAACTCTTATAGTTGAGGAATCAGAATTTAGAATCGGACTTATAAAATATTCACAAGTTAATTACAGATACTATACTACAAATAAAACAGCTATTTCAGTTGCAAATAAATAGTTTTTTTTTAAATAATAGTTGAAGGAATTAAATTATTGGAAGGAAACGTTTAGGGGGACTATTGTGAAATTATCGTACTTTATATGTACATAAATACAATATCACTTCAATTATATCGTAGAGAACACACAAATTACCGTATAAGACGATAATCACAGACGATAATTACCAAACATCTGGCAAACATTTCTTCTTTTTTTTGGAGTTGACTGCTATATGGACTCTTTCTAGACTGTCAATCTAGTGCGTTTGGCCTTTTATCATGAAACTGATGAGTGCCATTTGTCTAACCATGATGGCCTATCCGTATAAAACGAATAGGTTCTTCTTTTATTAGTCTCTATCGCCTATATGCATGCAGCTATCTTTAAAGTTTAAATTTATAAACTTTTGAATTCTTTAATTATTGCTTTGATATTAAGATATTAAAAATAAAAAAAAGGATTTAATGAAAGGGCATAAGTGCCACATTTACTATTTTATTCCAATTCTTTTTAAAAACTAAGGTTGTAGGTATTGTTTAACCCATGTTTAACAACAGTTGAATTTTAAGCTATTAACAATAAACAAACTATTAAACACCACGAATAACTTTAATAAATATCATTAAAGGTACATACATAATTTTCTTAACCTATATTTGCGACCTTAAAGTCTTTAAGATACTTGTAACCGTCTCAATCGGTTCGAGATGTAGAGGATTGTTTTTATCCAATTGCTGATGCAAGCTCATAATCGAGTTAGTAAAATTTTTGAATTCCGGCGTACTGCCCTGCAGCCACACCCTCGGAAGAATTAAACTTATTAGTCTCACTTTTTGCACGGCGTCTACCAGAGCGCAAAACTTCAAAGCGCTCAATAAATATCGATCCAGTAGAGCCGTCAAAGCCAGTTCTTTAAGAGTGGTTTCGTTAAGAATGCCTTGCCAACTGGTTATATTTTTTAGAAGTTTTAATCCGCTGGCGAATTGTCGTTGGAAAAATTGACATTTGCTGTCCGCTATTTTCGGGGTAATGGGAATGAACACGTCATGCTCCAGAGCGGTTTTCATTTTGTGTAGAATTGCGCTAAATAAGTTGTGCAGAGATTTGCTGGCCGGACCTAGAGTTGGAAATCTCCTTATGTATCTGCTTATAATGCCAACCAATCTACAGATAAAACAAAAAACTTATTCTTATTCGAATTTTAAGTAAATACCTGATTAAATTCGTAAATAAATTAGTTTTCCCGCCAATAAAACTATAAAATATATTAATTTAAAAAAGTTACCTCAATGTTTGTGAACTAGACAAAGGGTCCCAACATCTATCTACCAGTTGTGTAAGTTTTGGAACTATTATTTTCTCTATAATGGTTGGCAACATAGAAATGTCAGGATCTTTCGCTAATGTTTCTTCTGTCTCATCATCATGCAGTCCATATAAAGCCAATGTTCTATACCATTCCAATTTTTCCAATTCCATCGTTTCATTCAAAGGGTCCCAAAATACTAAATTGAGCCTCACAAGAGGACTTACGGCCTTAAAAGAATAAACATAAATTAAGATAATGAGACTCTTAAAGAGTAGGTGAGTTGATATTATATATCGTTCATTTGGAAGAAGAGGGTTATATCTCAAAAACAATAATTTTTCAAAAGAGCAAGTTTAAATAATTTGGTAGGCCTAAAAACTAGAAAGTTACATATGCTCTCTGGTGCTCTTAAGCTAATTTGTTCCCATTTTCCCTATAAAACATGAGATAATTTTAAATAGATTCTCATTGAAATGTCAAAATTGAAGTTTTTTGAGATGTAACCCTCTTCTTCCAAATGAACGATATATATTTTTAAAAGTTACCTTAGGTAGGCAAAACGAGGCATATGCTTCTGAATAGGCTGTAAGATCATTTGACCTCCACTGCTCAAACCGTATCAGAATGCTAGCAGTTGATGAATATTCCTCTACTACATCCTCAAAGACTTCTTGCAGCTCTGTCTGAATCTGTTCTCGATCTTTATCAAACAGAAGAATATCTTGCTGCGATATTTCGTCATCACTGGACATGCCTGTCAATGAAATATTAATAATTCAAATGTTAATTCCAATCTACAATAAGGAAATTAAGGTATTAAAACAATACAAACCTTCTACATGTTTAGGTTGCCCAGTAGTTTCTCTAGCCCTTCTTCTCCTAGTTCGCCGACCTTCTCTCTCAGCGGCTCTTCGTTGCTTTTCTTCCATCTCCATTCCTTTGTTCATCATACCACCCTTATTTGTAGCTTCTTCTGCTTGGTCACGGACATCCTGCCGTCTCCTCTCTATCAGCCAGTCAGATTTCCTAGCCATCAGATCCAATGCTCTAGTTTCTAAGTTAGAAATGACACCAATTTTTTCATCTAAGCATTCTACTAAATCCGTGATATAGCCTCTTAGTTCTTGGTAGAATCTGAACCTGTCAGCAGCATTGGGTGCTTTTAATTTTAATTCTTCTATTTCTTTCATGACTTCTTGGATGTCTTCTCTTGTTTTATCTAATTGAATCTCATGATTCTGTCTGGACTGAAGGACCTTTTCATATTGTTCTTTTAGTTTCTCAGCTATCATTTGGGGCGTTCTTGGTATACCAGGTTCAATGAGAGGAACCTAAGTTCATAAAATTCATTAGTGTTTAAAATAATTGAATCATGACTAACAATAAGTTAGAAAATCATTGTTAAACACTTACTTGAGTGGTTATTCTTGGGGGAGATGGACACTCTGGTGGATATAACATCTCTCTGGCGGCCTCCATGGCTGCTCCTGTTACTCCTTTTCTAATTTGTTGATTTTCCCATTCATCTACTTCATGATCTGAAGATTGAGCTGCTAAAAATTGTTCACGTCTTCTTTCTTGATCTTTCAAAGCTAAGTTTATGTCCATGTCTATTCTTTCTTCATCGCTTTCTATTTTGACAAAAAAATATTGAGTATAATAGTTAAAAATCATATTTTTCCGACTTAAACTTATTTTTATTGAAATATTTTAGATTATTTCAAAAATATCATTATCAACTTTATTTTACCTTCATTTTCATCCTCTCTCAATAATCTTCCCTTATCTTCTGGTTCTTCTTCTTCAGTAGGTATAAAGTCACCCATTTCTCTTGCTCTTTGTCTGCGTTTTCTTGCAGCATGTATCATTGCTGCATCAGGAATTGCTCCAGATTCCAATACTTTCTTAAAATTGTCAGGTTTAGAAAAACGATGACTAACTGCACTATCTTCTTCTCCTTCATCTTCTTCTGATGTTAGATCATCTTTACCTAAGTAACAAATAAAATACTCAATTACCATTTTAAATGGATAAGATTAAAAGTAAGTTTTAAAAAAATTGAATCTAGTTTGCAACAATTTTTTTAAATACATATAATTTCTTCCAACAATAGCATAAAGACATTTTAGCTAGTGTACATACACTTTTGTATGTAAAAAAATCACAATATACTGCAAATATACCTATTATTGTTTACTATATTTATGTTTTGACATATTGTTCATCACAGTAATGATTATTTTAACTTAACCTCATGCTAAAACACATGAATAATCAGGAAATTTCTGTAGTTTTTAAAATATTGTTTACCTGCACAAAGAGCATCTCTACCACTCAGAATCACAGGTGGTGGAGGCGTCAATGGCTTTTTATGACTGGAATTAACCACCAACACAAAATCATCCGTTACAATTTCAGTTTTATCCTTAGGTTTCGGTTCCTCTTTTTCAGGTTTAACTTCCTTCTTTTTCTTTTCTTTTTCAAACATACGTAAAACTTTTTTGCTGTGCGACGATTTTTTAACTTGGAACATTTCTCCTTCTTCCTCGTCATCGAAACTCAAGAGAGTTTGCGGTTTTTTGGAGGATTTATCTTTCTTTTTTGGCTTTTTTCCCACCGGAGCCGATTCCTGAACGTCCATGGGTGTCTCGTCTTCATCTTCCTCGTAGTTTTCTGTGAATACTCTTCGTTGAATCGACTTTTTAGGTTTTCTGAAAAGAGACATAGTTCTAGGATCAAATTTCTTCTAAGCAAACCTATTTATTATTTATTGTTTTGATTTGTTTTGTATTTTGTAACTTTCATTGACGTTTAAAATCTAGGTTAGAAATTAAAGTGAGGTTAATTCAATCTTCTATTTTTATTTTTGTGTATCTCGAATGATAATAAAATCCAGCTGCAAACTAATTTATACAATACAGTGTGATCCAATATGAATGCTTATTGACTTGTTCGTTCATCAAATTGCGAACGAAAGTTAACCCAAGTGAAATGAGGATAGTGGAATATGGGATACGATTTGTATTCCAATAAATAATTTGTAAAGAAGAGCTATATATGCCCAGATATAGAAGGTCGGTTAAAAAAGGAATGTTATAGAGAACTTGATGCTGATCTCGGATCCGTTTTTAAAATGATTTAAAGTAAATTATACAGTTTTTGAAGTATCTTTCTTAATACACTTTTTAACCCTAACTGTTGACAGCATGTGTTGCAACTACAGGAATACTGGGAAATGATTTTCTCCACGGAATGGAAGAAAATTCTGAAACACTTGCCTCTTTTGTATTTTACACGTATTTCATTCTATAACTCTAGAGACAGAATGTTCATTATGTAATATAGCTACTGGCCAATGGCTGTGAATACCACGCCCACATCGTAGATAGTCATGAATTTCATGACTGACAGTTCTACGCGACGTATGAGTATTTAGTCACAGTTTATAGCTAAAGAATCAGTTAGCTCACTCTGCGTCGGCACTTTTGATCTCAATGTTCCAGTTCATACACTGCGCAACTCGGATTTGTAGCGCATACAGAATCAAATCATAACCAATAATCACGCCTATATTCAAATAGCACTCTTCTGCGCATCCTGAATTTCTATCCCTGGAGTGGTCCAAGTGAGCTAACTGATTCTTTAGCAATAAACTGTGATTTAGTTTTGAATTTGCCAGAACAAAAAATAAGCGACGTTTGTTAAGTCGCACTTAAATTCAAAAATTGGTAAATATAATTATTCGTATAAGGAATTTGATAATTTTCCTCCTGAACTAACAAATTATGCAAATAATTTAAATAAAAACTTCTAATCGTCTAATAAAAGTTACATTAAATATTTAATTTTATTCAAAATGTAATTTTACTGTATTCAATTCCTACTTATGGTGTTTATAGCTGTGGAGAAAGTACAGTCTGTTACTCTGTTGGAATGAAAATCCTTGTTACAGAAGATACTATTATTCGATATGTCAGATACGAGAAACAAATGTAGGCAACCTATAACACATATCTTCGTATGACTGGTTATCTATAGTACATCACGTATAAAATAAACGTTTTTCGCAGCAAACCACCAAACAAGCAGTACGGAGTGAAAGGGTAGAATATGAGTATTACAATATTTTTGCAATTAAATTTAAAATATTGGAGAATATAAAAACCAAATTAGAATTAGTAGTTAGCAAATAATTCGAAAATTTAAACTTAATACTTTTTTAATCCCAATCTCAAATAATATTAATAAACATATTTCGGTGTAATGTTCCTAAAGTAGGCCTTGTCGAAACATACAATTTCTTCTTTTTAAGTGTCAGTTTCGGTTTAATTTAGAGCCGTGCGCAGTTTCATTTACAAGAGTCGTATCTCTATATATTTGTCAATCTTGCCCTTTTCTTAGAAACATTTTTGATCAATGATGGATATCTTTACATATAGTAGGCCATGATTATGTCAAGCACTTCTATGGTAGGTCAAGATATGTAATATTAAAATAAATAAATTTCGTGTACTACATGCTATTTTAGATGGTTGCGACGTTGCGAAAGTAAAGAAAATATTAGTTTTGTTTACTATATCTTAAGGGCATTTCTCAAATAAAAATGTTTAACCGCCATAAGAAATAACAAATTTACGGTAACTGGGAAATAAAAGATAATTTAAAAACATTTGAAGTATGTCAACAAATTAACTGTCAAGCCGCAATAAACAATAACAAAATCGGACATTTAGATAAGCATCAAATTCTCTATAAAAAATTTCCCACTTAACCGTCATTCTATCTCTTATATTAATTTCCGACACACTGTATATATGGTGACAAATAATAATAACAAGTTGTTGAAGTGATACCTCGTATGTATTGAATAATCAACTGGTAGATACGAGCTGTCATTTTTTTAACAACGATATGGTAAATAAAAATAAAAACCTATAGCAACGCGACGTCGCATTGCAAGGTTATTGAGGATGAATTTAGTGTTTATACCAAAAAAGTAGGCACATTCTTTAACCATAGATTCCTTAGGTCAGTGTATGGAGCATACATTGTATGGATTATAGAGATAAGGATAGATATGCTCGAAGGGTATAGCCTAAAATCCAAAAACTACATCGTGAAAAGCGATTGAGCTTATAATCATGGAGACATTTTGATAATAGACGACAATAGTGCTTTTCGTCGTCTGATTTACATATAGGTGTACTATCTATATAACTATATATCATTGGGTATTTCCATTCTAGTACACGAGCGCCATCTTAATTTTATACATGTTGGGGGACATTTTTTGAGATAAACACTCCATAAGTCAGTGCAAGAAACCTCTATTATTATTTTTTTCGATTGGGGCATTATGTTCAATATACAGGGTGACAAAGTTAATACTTTTCATTATATTTTCGTCTTTTTATCAAATAGATGGCTTAAAATTGGTATACCGGGTTTTTTTTTGAATGAAAAATCATAATTCGAGTCTAAATATCACCTACCTCATAGAGACAGCTAGCTGCAAGGGGTTTATTACCTTTTTTCCCCCATAAATATTGGCCCCAATCGAAAAAAAAATAATAATAGAGGTGTCTTCAACTGATCTAAGAAATCTGTGGATAACGGATTTGCCTACTTTTTTGGGACACCCTGTATTTTACGCTTGTCCGCCACACTCAAAAACAATCTCAGGCCTTTATAATACTGATAACTTTTATAAAATGATCAATAGCCTCTTGTTTTCTATCTGCCTTGTGTATTGATTTCCAGACTCCATATTGCCACCTTTTTATTGAAAATTAAAAAATCTTAACTTTTTGATATCATTTATGTACAATTATATATTTTTACCTACTCTTCATGCATGTACTCATCAACAAAAACCCAATCGATCATATGGTTGTCTTTTTAAAAATAATCTCGAGGTATTGTATGCGTTTACCACCGGTAAACCTTCATCCACATCGTCGTTAATCTTCTATTCAACGTTCAAAATAGCAAAACGCTTCTTAAAAATCACAAAACTCATCTGCACTTGCGATTTCTAAGGAAATCGAAACTTGGTAAGTCCTCCATTCGGTGACTTGCGTAAAAATTTTTGAAAGAATATTTGACACACGTATCGTCTAAATGAAATTTTAAAAGGTGTTGTAAAAAATGCTTGTTTAATAATAGGGCCATCCTATATTTTTGTAGAAGTTTTTTTTTTTGATTGATGATACATTGTATATAAAAGTTTTCAGATTGAAACGGTTTTCTATCAACATGCAGGTCAATTCTTTAGAAATTATATGTACAAAATTGCAAAATAAGAATGTTTAATGCATGTAGAAACATAAACAGAGAGAAGATAGAAACTATTAAACATTTATTATTCATGTGTAAATTAGCATTAATGGCATAAAGACTTAGTTAAACAAACAAACAAAAAAGAAATACCACATAACACAATATACACAAATATGGATTCAATGCATTAAAAACTATATAGAACTTATCATCTCCAATAAATATTTGGGACAACTGTGCAAAACCACGAATCAAAATAAAAAAGGCACTCAGTCTTGGCGATCGGGATCCGCGACCCAAAACTCCACGCGTAGAATTTACCACCAGAAGGGTATCCTATCCGGAGAATCCTTTTTATATCACATGATAGTTTGCTGCTATTTTACTGCTGTTTGATAATTATTAAATAATTAACCATGTACTTAAACAATCGAATAAATTAAACAATATTTATGTACAGAGCATTCTTTTGTTACTTGTCCAATAAAGCCAGAAATCTGTTGTTCCGCCAATTATGTCCGACCCTGTATATCTTATCAGAAATTTTAATAATAGAAAAGTTGTAAATACTTTTGACGACCATATTTTAAAATTATTCTTAAGGGTAGTACATAAATGAGAGGCGAACCAAACTTATACGTTTTTAAACCAAACACCCTGTAAATAATTCAAAAACTGGTTGAATTACGGAAAACAAACGTTTTGAATTTCAAGTTTTAAAAAATGACGTTAAATAGGTATAAAATAACAGTAATTCATTATAAAAAGAGATGGAAAAGCTAGGTAGACCAAAACTAGTCCAAAAATGTTTTCTATTTCGAAAAATCTCAAATACTGATTATTTTACAAAAAACAAACGCTCTGAATTTTTAAGTAATGACGCTAAATATGTTTAAAATAACAGAAATTCATTATAAACTAGATGAAAAAGCTAGATAGACCAAAACTATTCCAAAAATGTTTTCTATTTCAAAAAATCTCAAAAACTGTTTATTTTACAGAAAACAATTGTTTAAAATTGAAGTTTTTAAGAAATGACGTTAAATAGGTTTAAAATAACGGAAATTTGTTATAAAACAGATGAAAAAGCAAGATTTTTTCCCGTTCCAGTTCCATCAATACAATTTATATCTGTTAGACACTGGGTGTTTTATAGGTGGAGGCATTTTTGTTGAAAATTCACAGTAAATCTAACATCTGATCAAAACGCATGATAGCTACTAGATTTATGTTAAATATTTGAACAACCAATAACATGAAAGGACAATTATATGAATGTGTAATAATAGGTAGTTATGACATTTATACTTCATCGTGTAGCTAACTAAAACTCAATGGATTTCATAGAAGAACTCACAATGAACATAAAATTAAGAAGACAGTTCAGAAGTGGAGAATTTCCTATATTTATCTGCTCATTAACTACTGAGGAACAATTAAATGTTTTTAATTTCTATTTATTCCAAAAAAAATATGTCAGTTTGACAGTTTGTTATTGCCTATTTGAAATATTACTGTAGCTATGTATATTTATATGCTTTTTCAATA